AATGTATATTTTTACAAAATTTTAAAAAGTGTTATACAAATAATTATAATCTTTAAAAAAATTAAAAAATAATAAAATCACATTTAGCCTCCAAAATATCTAAATATAGATAGATAGATAGATAGATAGATAGATAGATAGATAGATAGATAGATAGATAGATAGATAGATAGATAGATAGATAGATAGATAGATAGATAGTTTATATATAGTTATAGTTTATGTATAGTTTTTGCCTATTATATTCTTACAAACAATTTGACGGCACTAAACTCTAGAGTGTGTGTGTGTCTGTGAGATATATAAACAATATTTTTTTTTTAAAAACGTACTCACCATCAAACATGAGATCAGGATTATCCAGTGGCCCGAAAGCTTTATAGCGCCCGTAGAAGCCCCTGTAGGGGACGGGCAGGTTGCCGTCGATGAGCAGCACTACCTGGACAGTGTTGGACACCGAGGTGTACCTGGCCTTCCTCCAGCACCTCTCCAGGACCATCTGCCCCCCCGCAGCCGACGGAGACTCGTCCAGGTGGATCTGATCGCTCTTGAGCTGACAGAAGTCCGCTGTCGTGAAGTCCTCCAGGTACAGGTCCACACGCTTCCCAGGACGCACCTGGATGGTCCAGTTGCACCACACGCCGGGGTTTGAGCACAGGTAGTCGGGGGAGAAGAACTCGCCGCTGTCAGCGTGCAGGACCTGATGGCAGCTCCGCAGGGCATGGAACGCGTATTGCTCTCGCCCTCCACCTAACGAGAGAGAGAGAGATTTTTTTTTTTTAATTATGAAAAAATACTTTACTTAAAATTTAGTCTACAAAGAGAGAGAGAGAGAGATATGAGCACACCTATCCACCAAAATATCTAAACATTTTGTTTAGAGTGAAAAGATAAAAAAAAAAAAAATGTTAATAAATACATATATTTCTTTTCCAAAATTAACATTTAATTTCATAATTTCTTTTTAGCTTTACCGTCTCACTCAATGGTCATTATTAAATAATGTTCTATTTTAGGAAAGGGGTCCTTTGCATCAAAAAGAAATCCAGGAGGGCACTAAAGGTTTAGTTAACACAAAAATATTAAAAATATTAAAGGTTTAGTTCACACAATAAGATATAAATCCAGGAGGGCACTAAAGGTTTAGTTCACACAAAAATATTAAAAATATTAAAGGTTTAGTTCACACAATAAAATATAAATCCAGGAGGGCACTAAAGGTTTAGTTCACACAAAAATATAAATATTAACGATTTCTCTCCCTCCATTGACAGGCTACGCAACTACAACTTTGAATTGATATTAAACAGCTCAATTCCATATGAATTTATGACTTTAGTCCAAATTTTCTGAAGAGATACGATCGCTTTATATGATGAACAGATTGAATTTAGGTTTTTTCCTCTCGTTTAAACAACTCAGTTGTGGTAAACTGAACCTCAAGCATGTTCTCAGCGAGGTTTTACGCAGCACGTTTGAGTTTCTGTTTATGTCCAATGATCAATGTTTATATAGCTATAAATGAAAAGCCAATGTTAAATCTGTTCATCATATAAAGCGATCGCGTCTCTACGGAAAATGGACTGAACCGCTCAATTCATACGGATTATTTTTATGATCTCTTTATGAACTTTCTGAAGCGTCAACGTAGAGGGAGATAAATCGCTCTAATTTCAACAAAAAGATCTTAATTTGTATTCTGAGGATGAATGAAAAGTCATAAGGGTTTGTAACGACATGAGGGTGAGTAAATAATGACATTTTTTTTTTTTTTGTTGAACTCTATCATTTAAATCTAAAGCAAGAGCGCCATTTTTTTTCATTCATGCAAAAAGTTATCATACTTCTCATGTAAATGTGACTGACATCTGTTTACCTGCGAATGCTTGGCCGTCATTTCTGTTGATCTGCCAAAAACAGAGAGTATATGAGAGAGATGTGAAGCGATCAGATGATTTATGATGACGAGTTACTCACCTCAGCACTGTTTATCAAACGCGTCAAATAGATTAATATCAGAAGAATACATCTACTCATTTTAGAATTATGATCGCGAACTTTCTACGGTGTTTTCAGTTGTTTGTTTTAAAACATAAACGGAAGAAGCTGCCAGCATCACCTGTATTATATCTGCAGTTAATGAGAAGTTTACCTGTCGCGCATGACGTAATGACATGCGACGCTCTCTGGAACCGACAGAGGGCGCTGCTCGATCACGTACACATAATGAGGTCGGCCGTGTCGAATTGGAAGTGCACTAGCGTACTACATACTGTCTAGTATAGTATTCTGCCCACTTTTAAAAACAGCACGTGAAATAGCCTCCTAAACATTTTGTTATGATAACGTCAAGCTCTGATTCAACACGTAGCAAAGCTACATTTTTCATAATCATTTGTTCATTACTTAAAAGCTTGGGTTTTTTTTGCATTAAATTATTACATTGTTTAAATTAATACCTTTTTTTGCGAACTGTGATAACAAATCACTCTAAATTGTAATGTGGATTGAATTGCATTTTCTGTAAAGCTGCTTTGAAAAATATATTTTGAAAAGCGCTAAACAAATAAATGTGAAGTGAATTGAATTATGGCGATGATATCATAGCAAAGTGCTTGAAGAGATTACTTTGAAAGTTTATGTTCCCATACATGATGATATATGTCACTGCTTTATGTTTAATCTGAATGTAAACTTGGTATAGCAAATAGCATATTTGTGTACTTTAAATCCTAGGGAATATTTCAAATAACCTGCCTTTTTTAATGAATTGTGAGGATGTGCCACCAGGATCATCAGGTAATCAAAAATGTTTCCTGCTGAATCCGAAATATCTTCTTTTACTGTCTATGTAAATCACATACTCTCTTGAGTAGGTAGCCTACTTATTTTGAATAAGTAATTACATCACAAGCACTAAAGAAGTATGCTTTATATAAGGTGTAGTATAAATGAACCTGTCCGTTTGCGGTGTTGTCATTATCACGTGACCTACTACCAGCGCTTTACTGCAATTCACAAATCCTCTCCTGTGGCCTTATGGGATAGTAAAGTGTCCATATGCACACTTCAGAATCTCACCGGAAGTAGGAGGTTATCCAGGTACTTTTTGCCAACTCTTTATGTGAACTTAATTCGAACATACTTCTTTTGTCACTGTTCTTCGCCCATTATATAATAGGGAAGTATTCAATTTCACATGTAGCCATTGTTTTTTTTATTTTTTATTTCCTGGATGGTCCATAATTGCCCATATCTGCTTAATTATTTTCATTTGAAAAACATGACAAATATGGACACAGCAGAACTTTATTGGGATAAACAAAAAATAATTTCACATATAAAGGGTCACATATAATCATTTTATCGATGATTAAAAATCTGTGAACATGATTAACACTCATATTGAACAACGTACTGAACTTCACACTAAATATTTCACGGAAAACCCATCCTTAGGAGTTGATGGAGTAGCCTAATGAGATTTGACTGTGAACTTCAGTCTCGTTCAGCTCTTTGTGTGTGCTGGACATTGCCCTACAACAATGGTGCAAAGGTCACAACTCACAACAGCACACAAATTAATAAAAACATGTAATATTGTGTTACACAACTAACAAGAGTAATTGGCGATCGAACAAACAACAGCTTCCTGAGAATATAGGTTTAATGCGATAGAAGTCAAACAGCTCCCAAACACAAATAAAGGCATAAATAAAAGCAACAACACAACATAAACCCAATGCATCAGTCTCTTTAGCTCATTCTTGTTGTGAAAAAATACACTCTGATTTCTCAGAATGCATCATATTTTAGTAATTGTGCGTAAATAAAGGCAGGAACTGTGTAAATGCAGCACATTCAATTCAATTCAATACATTTCCTGGTCTCATTGTGAACCATTCATCGGTTCACATTATTCCAATGAAACTTGGACTATTTAAAGTCCTCCTGTAGTCAATAATCTCTTAAAACTAATCTTTGATCACCAAAATTACATAATGAAGAATTTTTTCAATAGCTTGAATGTAACTCGACACCCTTGCTTCATTTAGGATATGCGGTTCTATGAATATGCAAATGAGCCCCGCCTCCACTCACTCGCTCAGCTCAGAGATCCACTGGTTGACGATCACACGTTGATCTGATTGGTTACAAGGTACTGTGTAATGTCAGAAACACCAACGTTTTTGAGCCTGTCTTTGGTTCATTGCAGTTTTAAGGAGAAACTACTCAGCAAATGTTGTTCCCATATGAATTTACACATGGTTTGTCTTAAAGCATATTAAAATCACCACAAAGACATATAAACAACATTAAAAGCTTGATTTTCACCACAGGGAAACTTTTAAATATAACTTGCTCCACCCCTCAAACAAAGTCCCTTTCAGGTGGAGAGAGTCCCTCTCACTTTTAAACCCCACCCAACTTGTTTTTTTTTACTTTGAATACATGCCGTTACGAAAGTTACTAGTTAATTGTTACTATTATTAAATGTAATCTTGTTGTGTTGTTTGGTGCAAGAATTGATGAAAAATGAATATGCTGTATCTGGAACTTTTATTTCTAGAAAATATTCACATCATTAAAATCGCACCGTAATGTCACTCTTTACATTGTCGTGGTCTCGGCGCTGGCTCGGCAGACCTGCGGATCATACACACAAGTCTTGTACAGGACCATATAGGCATCTAAAGATTTATAAGCCCTCAGTTTCTCTTTACGATCGGTTTCTCTATAAGGTAGGTGTAGAAGTCAGGCCACTCACCCGAGGTAACGTACGTTAATCCTGTCAGATCATCCATGCATTGAGTGAGCGTGTAGGCGGCTACAGGTCGGCCAATCTGGTTCCGTCCGTTAAAAATAACTTTTGTAAATAACAATCGCGGTCCTGGACACTGAGTGACCTTACACATTAAGATAATATCAGATTTTCTCCAGTCATTGTTAAAAAAACAAGCTAACAACCCTTGCTAACTAGCGTTAGTGAAGCGGCCAGATGGATCTTTCTGCTTCCACCTAAGCTCCGCCCACAAAAAAAACGTCACCATGTTTACCAACTGTAAAAGGGTCTATACTGTCGTTGTCTCTTCGGTGTAGACAGCATTACTGATTATAATGAGCTCTTTTGCTGTGTCGCTTACTGACTTTCTTGTCCGGTGTAGGTACATAGGTACAGTTCACTTTCGGGTCATTTATCCAAGACCAGATCTTTATCATGTCCTGTGGGCTTCTGGGATGGACCAGAATCAAACTTTTGTAAGCACATGGATTCTCTCTGTTTTTCTGCTCAATGTCAAAAGTCTTGAAGCCCACGTGTTTCTCCGGTACCAATCCCAGTCTCTGCAGACACATCCCCGTGAACACGTCGTCAATCGGGTACAACATGACCAGACGAGAGATCTTTCTTAACCGCAGTCCCAAATTTCCTGAATACAGGTAGCCTCCGCCACCTGCGTACGGAGGGTAACCCCCCAGAAACACACTTTCAGGGATATAATACTTGAGGTTTTTGCTCCGGTGTGGGCCGGCACTAGTGATCACGTCACCAATAAACAGATCATTTGTGCTGGACGTCGAAAAGTTGCCTAGGTAGGTCAGAATATGGTGCGTGTTGACGAAAACGTCATCGTCGCCTTTGAAGATGAATTGAGCAGAAGCACAACGTGCCTCAAACCACTCCAAAAAAAGGATTTCTTTCAAGGTGAGGTTGAAGAACGAGTCCCGGTAATCCCATTGCACAACGTCGCCGTACAACGCCGCTTCGTGCTTGACCATATCCGACAAGTCCGGGAAGTGGTCCGTCGCAGTCGTGTTCCCAAGTAGGAAGACCGTGGCGATGCGCTGGCCGTCGAGGACACCAGCGCGACCCCATGATTCCCGGATGGCCTGCCGGCGGTCAAAATGTGGCGCGATGGACTTTATCGCAAACAAAAGGTACGGCGGCTCCAAACACACGTTGGGCGCGTCCGTTATCAACGGGTACGTCCTACATCCCATGTACAATAGGAAATCCTGGAATCGCTGTGGTAGGGAACTGAAGTCTTCAATCTCTGTCAGCACTTTGTCGTTTGGCCGGCACGGGCTTGAGTGATTCAGCCAATGCGGGATTCCCCGAAAGTCATGAGGAAGGTCGCTGCCATTCGTAAGGGGCAGGTAGTAGATGTCGTCCAAACGCTCCTGCTCCCGATTCCAGAACGCCTTACTGACTTTTGCCATCTTCCAGAACACTTTGGGCATCATTTTCTCCCGCTTGGAGATGACCTTCCCGTTGCTTAGGAACATTTCCACCATGATGTAGATGAGGAAATTGGCTAACATCAGCACTCCGAGCAGCTTGGTCCTATTCATTTTGAAGATGCCCTGGCCACCTACAGTATAAACACAGAAGTAGATTCATTATCTATTGGGGTACAGTCTGGAAACAGAGGTGTGGATGGTCTACAGAAAATGGTGGAGAAAGTGGGATGGGCAATCGTCAATGACCTTGAAAATGTAGGAAGTTGGATAAAAAGTCAGTTAATATGGACTTCATCCCAAACAGAATGTATTTTTTTTTATTTTATTTTTTTTAGCGTGAGATTAGCATATTTTTTTTGTCCTAGCAAACTTTGTCGGGTTTTTTTTCACATGCCGTAACGTTAAAAAAATTGAAATATCAATTTTGATCTGTGACACTTCGTAATAAATCTAATTTATTTCCACATATGTAAGTGGCCCAGATCAGAATTGATCCATTTATACATCAAGGACGATAATGATAAAGTTTTAATAATCGTTCTAATTCTGACAATAGGGAAGTCCTCAGCTATTTTTTTTTCCAGCTGATGAACTATAAAAACATTGAGAGTCAATCAGAATCACATGACTTTAAAGAGCTCAAGCATTTAAAGCAGCAGTGTGCGCTAATAATTAAGAAGACTAAGGCCCTGTTTACGCGAGAACGCTCACGGGTAAAAACGTAAAAATATTTTATTGGATGTGCCTTTCGTTTACACGGCGACGGCGTTTTTGGGGCTTAAAAACGCAAAAAAGTGAAACCACCCTCCAAAGTGGAAATCTTAAAAACGTTCCACCGCCGCGTTCCCGTGTAAAGGGTAAAAACGCAAAAGTCTGCTTGACAGTGAAGGTTGTACGCAGGCGCGCGGACTTGGTGTTGTTGTAGTATGCATTCCTAGCCGCCTGGAGTGCATACTACATTGAATTTCACACACTTTTGCGTCATCGTATGAACGCAGATTTCCCACACAAAACGCTCGTCTAAAAGCAGAATAAAAAGTGATAACGTAACGCCACTTTTGCGTTTTTTCTTCAGAATCGTTTCTGTGTAAACATAGCCAATCTCGAAGGGTTCTATCAGGTGCTTCATATATATGTATATATATATATATACATACAACCTTTTAGGGGTTACATCATGGATACATTTTATGGATTTAGTTTTAACTTACATTTTTAGTTTTAATTAAATTTTATGAATAAACATTTGAAAAACATACTTTACTTGGATAAAAGCGTCTTCTAAATGACTACTATAAATATTTATTAGTGTAAAAATGAAGACATTTGTCATTATACAAAAGCTTTTTGGCAAAAAGAGTTCTTTAAAATTAAGTCAAGAATCCTAGGCTTCTATATAGAACAGCACTGAACCTTTATTCTAGAGTCACTCATCTTTATAATTATCGTTCTTGGTGACCTTTATTTTCTTAATGCAGGTTCCTGTTTTTATTATGTACCCTTCATTTCATTACATTGTTGAATGTTATTTTAAATAAAAAAAAAACAATGTCACCCTAATAAAATGACTTTCTCCATGACACAAATTGCTCTTATTTTCTTTTCTTTCTTTCTTTTTTCATTTAAATTACTTTTTTAGCTTACTATTTAACATATTTAGATAAAAACATCATAAATGTCTGAAAAATGAATGTCCGATCATGTTGTGGGCCACATTTTAACGTCATCTGAACAACTGTACACAACAAATTGATATAAGTAGATAAACAGAATTGAGTACTTAAGGTTTATAGTGTTAGTGCAGCACATTATTATATCTCACAAGTTAATGCAAAAACACACACTAACCACATTTTTCAAAAGGAAGGTGCAAAGAGCAACCTTTTCTGTGTACATTTTGTTTGACAAGTAAGAAGAGCTGGAATGGTTCATCCATAAATTAAACTTGTCATTGTTCACTCACCCATTATCATTACAGCTCTTTTCTACATACGTGCCATTTTGGGTTCCTGAAATCGGAAGGATTCATGGATGTTAAAGGTTCTTGATGGAACCATCAATGCTAATTAAGAACTTTTTTTAAGAGCAAATACATACGCTAAAATTTACAATAAAACTAAATAATTAGGGATGCAAGGAAATGAACATTTTGGCCGATACCGATAACCGATAACCGATAATGTGTCATATTTGAAAGCCGATAACCGATATATTGGCCGATAAATCTGAATCCAAGTTTTTATATGATTTTTGACAGCCTGATTACAAAAACAAAAGTCTCACCATTTAACAGCCACACAAATAAAGCTCTCATTATGATTTCATGATCTCACTATATGACGGCACAACTCTATTTTCCTTTTTTGAAGTGATTCTAATCATATTTCAAGCAATTCAAAACCACCATTGCGAACAGTGCGAATCTGAAGCGTCTCAATATATCAGCCAAATTTTATTATCAGGCAAATTATGATAACATTAAAAATGAACATATACCGATATATCGTGCATCCCTAAAAACAATAGCATAGAATTGTGCATGAAAAACCTTTCGACACACAAAGCTGAAGGATTTCAGAAGGCTCAGAATAAAAACTATTCTTCTGTGTACCACAAAAACAGTAAAAACAGCAGCAAGTTTGAATTACATAAAGATGAGTAAAAACAGGACAGAATTTTAATTTCTGGATGAACTACTCCTTTAAGAAAGCGTCCGCTATAGCATAGATGTCAGTAAAGCGTTAAAGTAACGATTGGTCCGTGACTCACAGCGAGGGCATCTGCAGGGTAAGTCTAGGGTGACATCCATGAGTGAATCCGGTGGGAAGCGTCCACGGTTTCTCCTCCTGCGACTGTACCTGAACAGTAAGGGATGAACCTGCTGCATATCAGCCAATGTTTCATACCGAAACCAAGGTCTCTCTCGATCACAGTCTCCACAGCATCCAAACATTCCCTTTTCAACCTGTTTTCTTCCTAATATCCGTCTTTCTTTCCTGAATCACCCTGAATGTGACAAGCTTCCTTCTCTCATTCCTCAAACACATCATGTGTTCCTCATGACACCAATTACAGATGTGCAGCGTCAGACTCTCGTGTAGCTTTGACTAAACAGCTCTGGTATTCAGTTTATTTTGTCTCACTATCACCGGAAGAGACTGTCTGACTGGCACGTTAAGCAATCGATCCATAGTTTAGGGATGGTTTATGGAGTTGCAAAGCAAAATAGAGGCCAAAAGTCTATATTATGAGCCCAATGATATTCAGCCTCTGAAAATTTGATGTCAGCTTGTCATATTTTGCAAGCAATCAGATGGCGTCACGTGATGTGTCGAAAATATTTATTGCAGGGCAACAAACAGGTCCATTTCATGAGTGTAATATAATATTTTCCCAAGCATGACGTTACCTACTACACTCCAACAAGGAAATCTTTCCACACGTCACTGAGACTCAATGCCATCACTCTTTTGGTTCCTCATTATTAGCAGAGTCCAATCCAGTCCCTCTCTGTCGGCTCAGCCCTCTTCTTTACAGGCCACATGCTTGTTTCGTGCAGCATTTAAGAGTGACTAACACATAAGTGACTGAGCAACTGCTAGATTGGCAATGGAAATCACAATGCAAGAGAGAAAAATAATACATTTTACATCAGAACTAAAATATTTTTAGGATATTTTTCATACTAAAGTGTCACACACCATTACAGTACACGCATATTAATCTCTTAAAATACTGTTTTTTAAAACAAACTGGGTGGTTTGATTATGATTTCACTTTTCTAACTTTAGTTAGTGTGTAATGTTGCTGTTTGTGCATAAACAACATCTGCAAAATTACAACGCTCAAAGTTTAAAGCAAACGGAGATATTTGCTTTTAAAGAAATTGCTTTAAGGACTACAACAAACGGCTGTTAAGGACTACACAAGCTTCCTACCGGGTTAGTGTCATCGCGAACCCTAAAATGTACATAAACCCCGCCCCCGGGAACAAATATATAGATTATCATGACTGAATATGCTAATCAATGACTAGAAAATATCTCCATAAGCTACATAAATTCATCAACCTTTCGAATTCTACAAGTTGTCACTTCTTCTTGAGTCTCTCGATCTTTGTCTGACTGAAATTATCAGTGAATGGACACAAGGTGTTGAAGCTCCGCCCCCTGTGCCTGGAGCAGCAGCTCATTTGCATTTAAAGGGACACACACAAAAAACGGTGTGTTTTTGCTCAACCTTAAAAAGCTAAAACTTCACATACACACTCTGGGGTCATCAGAGACTTATTTTACATCTTGCGAATAGGGCATTATACCATCCCTCTTAAGTAATTTGTGATATAGGCTACTTCTGAAAGCTGTATGCTCTTAAAGTTGGCATGCACCTGAAGCTGAGATAGTCTTCTTCTCTATTGTGAGTGAAACAAACAAATGAAACAAAGAAAAAATATAGAGCGGGACTTGATTTTGTCCATCGTGGTGATTTGGTATCGGTCAATCATGCGTGACCGAATTCTGAGTTAACAACTTGGCACATGAAAAGAAAAACATTGCTGCGTAGAGGCTAAAAAGGAGAAAATGTTGTTTTCCTAAAGATATATTTGTCTCTTTCGGAAAACTGTGATTTTAAAGGTGTAGTCAACTTCCTGGAGGGATAGACTAATGCTTCAATCTACTGTAAACAGCAATGAGTTGTGTGTGTTCATTAGATCTCGGAGTACTCAAGCAATAGTTCAACTAAAAATGAAAAATCTGTATATTTTCACCCTTTTAGATACATATGGATTTTTTTCCCAACACACATTTTTTATATTCAACAGATAGGCCTATAATTTATGAAAGAAACAAGGAAAAAGCACCATGAATGTGGTCCATAATGTATCCACTTTATTCATGCAAAGCTTTATGTGAGAAACAGAGTGAAATTTTTACCCAAAATTTCAAATAGGACATCAATAAAAAATATTATTGGTCCAACTAGCTGCATATTTTTTTCACGTATGGGTCATCAGATTATAATGTTTTCAGGCGTAGATAAAATGCAAAACATAGGATATCCAGATAACGTTAATTTATAGATGTAAGAATGAAACTGACATTAAACATGAGTTCTTAATACACTATTAAGTTGATTTCTGGACATTGTAATGTTATTTGTATACAATTGTTTTTTTTTTTTTTTTTTACATATCTGATATAGCAATGTATTATAAATATTTAGTGGTCATAGTATGTCAAAGGATCTATGTAAAACGTATTTAATAGTACTTTTGTTTTCCACAAAATAAACACACACAAAAAAGACAAGAAGCTAGAAAATAATGATTAAAGTTTCATTTTTGGGGCAAACTAACTATCCTTTTAAGGATTTGACAGACAGACAGACAGACAGACAGTAGATAGATATAGATAGATAGATAGATAGATAGATAGATAGATAGATAGATAGATAGATAGATAGATAGATAGATAGATAGATAGATAGATAGATAGATAGATAGATAGATTGAATTAAATTACCTGTTGAAATGAATAATAATTAAACGATCAAACGTTTATTTCTCCTAATAAATATCAGGGTGGTGAAAGTGAGTAACAGACCTAAATTAAAACATTCATGTGTAGTAGGCTAGTCTACTATTTGTTCTAACTCGCAACTCTAATCTAGTCTGATTTACCTGTACATGATGTAGGTGCGTGCAGTTGCGACTCTTCTTACCTGTACAACAGCGACTCACAACTGATGTTTCTTCAATGAAGGGACATTTTCCTCTGTCCTTTGCTCTTAATCCACCGATCGGAACCTAAGTTGTTTATTTCTTCAGTAAACTTGAAAGTCCGGTAAACAGTTCGTCTCCCATGCTAGCCGTGCCAGAGAGCGGTACCGCGTGTCCTCGAGCAGGTCAGAGTCTCCTCAGACCACGGCCGCGCGCACGGGCACGGCCACGCACGTGCACAGGTTGAGCTATGCCAATGCAAAATTTGGTATAATCTCAAGAACACAGTTAAAAACGGCGAAAACGCCCGTTACTATTTATGTTTAGCTTTACATGTACGCTACTTTACATGTACTTTACATGATATCAAGAGGTTTGGGGTGGGGTTAAGTTTGAGCATATATCATCACCTGCTTATTTACCACTGTACAAGATGTCCTCAACGAATGTCTCTCTCTCTGTGTGTGTTTTGTGTGCTTGTTTTTATTCCTCCGATTACTGCCTAAAACTTGCCTCAGGGTTACTAACAAACCCATATTCTTCACCTTGAAAGCACATTACGCATATACTGTGTACACCCCATTCAATTCGGCCTATTTGAACTTATTTCATACCGCGTTAACTCCAATTATCGTGACCAGCTGGGTATTTTGAACTCAAGTTTTCAAAAATTAAACTTAATTGTCTTGACTATGTGTGAGTTGAAACAAAGGTTATTTTCAAGTTGAGCTTACTTATGTTTTTAAGGTAGATCAACTTTCGTTTCTAAGTTTAACCATGGTTTTACATGCAAAAAAAGGCCAATAATGAAGGAATGACATTTAATTAAACATTTAAACACTTTTATAATATTTTTTGCATTACGTGGAAGGAAAACATTTTATAGTCTATTTCTTTTTTATGATTCACTTAATTTGTTTTGTATGAAGAATTCCTTAAATGGCTGTAACCTAAAAGCAGAATATGAATGCAGCCAAACAACATTGCAGTTATTATGTCATTTTATTTATTTATATATTTCACATTATATGTATCCCTTTAATAAGTAAAAGTAAAATCAAATTAAGCATAATGTATTAAAGTCATCCTCTCCTGTTTTTAATATTAGACAGCAAATTTTATAGGGCTGTCAAACGATTAATCAATCGCATCCAAAATAAAAGTTTGTGTTTACATAATATATGTGGGTGTACTGTGTATAATTATTTTATATATATATATATATATACACACACATGCTTGTATATATTTAAGAAATATTTTCATGTATATACTGTATATAGATTTATATATAAATTATATTATATATAAATATAAATATTTTATATATAAGTAATATTTATGTGTGTGTATTTTATATATAGAGAAAATAATTATACACAGGGATATATATATATATATATGCATATACATATATTATGTAAACACAAACTTTTAATTTGGATACGATTAATCGTTTGACAGCCCTAAAATTTTATATAGGTACTCAATTCACTACAAAAACAACTAAGATTCTTTGCTATTTTTATTTTAGTAATGAGAATCATTTCATGTAAGAAAGACCAAATGTTTTTTTGTTTGTTCAAATCAATTATTCTCCTGATATTTGTTAGTCCTATCTAAACAGAACAGTATTGTATTGTATGTGCACAATAAACCCAGAATGGCAGCATTAACAGTTGGTTCTGTCAGTATCAGGCTTGTAAAATGAACAAATGACTCGGTATTCGAATGAAATCGTTAGTTAGCAGCACATTCACATAAGAGCGTCAGCTTCTGCCTCAGTAGGCTACTGTTTAAACTTGCGCACCGCCATAGTTTTCTTCAGAGATGTTTACCTTGCTTCATTCATCACTAGTTAACTCATATGATACTTTTCAAAGGCCACAATTACACCCATTGTCTTCTCATCTGAATAATTGATTGGTTGTCCACCCGCTCATAGGCTGTTTAAACCACACATTTGTTGTAAATGACAGAACGAGGACCATCCGTTTGAGGTCGAGCAGCAACAAAAGCACACTGATGTGTTTGGTCTATGATGATAAACAACACACAACAGTCCTCGTCTGGTTCACGTCCAGATATTCACACCTGCGCGACCTGACACGTCTCAACCCGTTCACCTGATGGGTGTTAACTTCTTAAATATTTAAACAGATTGGGTGGCATCGCAGTTCATTAGTAAATACTGAGTCTCCAAACACACACAGAATAAAAATAAAATATGAAGGGCTACAAAGTAGCATCCAAAATTTAACAACATCAAAAGTCAGTGAATGTTGTCTTTAAATCTTTAAATCTTTATATTTAAAGTTGTTTTTTTTCCTATTCATTTCATATGAGTTTGGCAATTTTATTTTCTAACAATAAACACTGAATAAAAGTAAAATAATGTATATTTTATACAGAAAATTTAGCTTTATATTGTGTTAAATTATGCTTTATCTAAAATATATGTATTTTTTTTTTACAACAAACAAATGGCATTTGCATAATAAGACACTTATTTGTATCCTAATCATGAACAACATACCATTTACCTTTTTTAAAATATGGGAACGGTGATCTTATCTATAAATAAGTACAGATTAACAACATAACTTTGTTTTGAATTTCAGAATGATGACCTTCGCTCAAAAGCACAGCCGTAATAAAGGCGGATCATGATTGTTGTTGTAATAAATATCTGCTGTTCCTAGAACACTAAATCATCTCGCAGTTTGCACACACATAATAAATATTAACTTGCATACATAAGAAGATTTACAGGTCATGTCAGATCATTTAATGTTATTACTTAATTTAGTTATTAAGTGACTATGTAAAAGCACAATTATCCCTGTGAAGCGAGGTTGGCGGGTTTGGTTCAAATTAAGGGTTTGGTGGTTCAATTTATGTCTCAGTTTGCTTGGTTCGTTTGTTCCGGACTAAAAAACAAACATGTCAGACATCATGACTTTTGCGTAAACATACACGGCACTTTCAAGTCAAGTGGCGTGTTATCTATACGCATTTTGAGCTATCCGCGTGCATGTACACGTTAAATGTCCGACGCAAAATGTAGATCTACATCTGGGGAGCGATATTTTTTTTCCTAGGATGGTAGGGGAAGACTCATAAAGGCTATTTTGAACCTTGTTAGTGGTATAAACTAGCGATTTCTTTTTACTAGCGCATATGCTAAGATAAAACTCTTTACATTCGATTATCATGGAAACAAATCTCAGAGAACGGTTGACTAAGTACCAATTTTTTTTTAGACAAAAGGTTCATTCTCCTTTAAAGCACAAAAGTAGAGGAAGTATTTCTGTATTATGAATATTCAAACGAGTATGGACTACAAATGAGTGTGTTTACGTGATGAAATAAGTGGGTTTGTCGGTAATTGCATCCTGATCAATGAAACTGGCTCTTTCAAGGAGTTTACACTCAAGAGCAGATTAGCTCAAGATTTGACTTGTTCATAATGTGTGTAAAGGGTTTGCGGTGGTTGCTAGGATTTGAGAGCTTTCAAAACACGAGGAACACTTTGGACGGGCCCATTCAAGTGCATCATTCACAATGTTCCTGTGTCATGTGCGAGCCCCTAAAGCAGGGGTGCCCAAACTTTTTCCTACGAAGGGCCAAAAAATCAAACTTGATCAAAAGTAAATTTTGCATCATAAATCAAACGGTATTACATTAAAGTTGCTATGGGTTTATTTGTTTTATAATATTTAAAATAAATATAAAACAATGTCAATCTGATTAACTAATGCAGTATTATTTGTAAAGTTTTGCATTTTAAAGAAATCCCCTCTCCCCGGACGGTATGGCGGGCCAAATCAAAGGATACCACGGGCCAACTTTGGCCTGCGGGCCCTAGTTTGGGCATCTCTGCCCTAAAGGGACGTGGTGGTGGAAAAAAAAAACGTCCTTTTTTTCTTTATCAAACTATATTAGTGGAAAATCAACACTGAAACAATACAGAACCTAAAACACTGTGAGAGGATTTTTTTTTTTAATAAACTCACAGATATCAAAGTTTGAGGTTTGACAATGATTATTTATGATGAAAATAACAATACAGGTCTCTACACACATTCTCTCTCTCTCACACACACACCTATGAACAAGCAGATAAGCTCTAGCTGCGATGTACGACGCTGTCGATGCTCTCCTGAAGCTCTGCCATCTTCTTCAGCACCAGATTCACCTTCTGCTCATCAAACTCCAAACACACAAACTCAGAGCTCTGAAGTAGAGAGAGGGAGAGAGAGAGACTGTGAATGGTGAAGCTGAAGTGACCCAAAATCATTTTCCACAACACATGACGTGTAATATATCAGAAGTGCTGCTGACTCGGCTGTTGCAGAGTCCACCCGCATCCACACAGCGGTGTCCGATTCGCTGCACGGACCGCACTCTAAAAGCAGAGAATCAACTTCAGGCCTCGGAATTCTGCACTTGTAACTTAGAATCAATAAATAGAATGTTTTTAAACAATCAGATTCGATTTGCATTTGCTAACGGTTTTCCTGGAATTCTTGATTCTGATTGGTCAGTTTGTTTGTTTTTTGCGCAGTGATGCTAGACTGTTCATCACTGACTGAACTGGTTTCCTACTGAGTTTCTTATCTCTCATATCACTTGTGAACCGATTTTATCAAATCACGTATTGAGTAGGTACTACCATTTGAATTTATTTAGTGACTTAGAAAAAGTTTGTTCTATATAGTATGAATATGGGTAGTATCAGTGGTGGAGGAAGTACTGAATCTCAGTACTTAAGTAAAAGTATAAATAACCAGATAAACATTTACTTGAGTAAAAGTAGAAGTAACACAATGACAACCATACTTAAAGGAGAACTCCGGCGAACAATGAACCTTTGGTCTAATAAAACATCGGTACCTAGTCAACCGTTCTCTGAGTTTTGTTTTCATGATAATCGAATGTAAAGAGTTTTATCTCTAAAAACTGTTTAGCGTATATGCTAGTAATGGGGGCATTGACTTAGTAAAAAGAAATCGCTAGTTTATACCACTAACAAGGCTCAAAATAGCCCCACACTAACGCAGTAACATAATGAGGGTCCCTACATGCAAAATGAAGCATTGAGAACTTTGTAAGTGTACAGACCGTTTAATAAGAAGATACTTTATGAAGACAGTTCACTTCGCGTATACAGGCAGGAGCCATCTTAAAAAATAGTCTCGAGAAGTCGATCCCCGAACGCCGTTCATACAGTTCAGAAGTTCGTTGAACTTCATACAGTTCTGATCACTCAGCACGACGTTCGTGGTTTGACTTATCGAGACTATTTTTTAAAGATGG